CTTCTCATCTGCAAAAAAAGAGATTCTGCCATGAGTTGAATCTGAATTGTAAAATTTGCAGATGTTAAATTAATATTTATAATGCATGATTATAATTATTTTAATCGAGTTAATTTAGAGTTTTTCTTAATTAATGCATTTAAGATATTTAATTATTTAAAAATTACATTTTTGTAAATGTGTTATTGAATATGACATATTTACATATGAGAAAAGTTTCTTAGAAATGCACATATGATATCCACATCAATTTGATGAATTTTATTTTTTTTTTTTTTAATCTTTGATAATCTTTGATCTTTTGATCTTTGAAAAATAAATCAGCATCGCCTCGTATAGACAACTAACTTGCAAAACTATTTGATCCTTTTTCTATTTATATGAAAAGTTTATTCACTTGTGTTATATGTAGATACTTTTCTCCGCTCGGTATCAGAAGCTTCTCGAGCAAAGAAAAGTTTTTTATCGATTTACAAAAGAGCGCTTTACATTTAATCTACATTCGGGAACTCAAGACCTGTTTTTACAAAAAAATGAATGCATGTGTACGCCTCCCCGCCTCCTTCCTAATTAATTATAATCTACAACTATTATCGGGCTGTATAGGAATCATAACAAAGCTTGCGCGTGTAATTGGAAAATAGAATAATCTGCTAATGGAAATATATTCATACATAAATACCCCACCAGTTAACTCGATATCACGCTTGAGAGATTCGATGTTCTCAATTTCAAATAATAAGCTTACGAGAATGAAATGATTTCATTAAATTGGCAAGCAAGCACAAATGAAATTCAGATAGAGATATTACGTCGAAAAAAATATAACTGCGACACTGTATTACATTTACCAGCCTCTTTAAAACGCGTCTCCAGAATTTTACTAAGAATTTAAAATTCACCGTATTAGCTCGTTAATCTCATTTTTCACGCGGATCTTATATTTGCGTACAAAACGTTCAGAGCGTATAATACGCAGATTTAATGATATTTCCTAAAGCGCAAAAGTAAAATTTGCTTTCGTCAGCATCAAAATTTAAAAATCCATTATTTTTATTACAACGTAATATCATCTTTATGGCACATCCATAATATCTGATTTATAATAAGACCAAAATAGCTTCTTTTTTTTCTTTATTTTAATAATCATTGTATCTTTGCGGACAGCAGATTGCCTCGAATATCTAACAATATACGAAGTACGTTTGAGAATATACTACGAGAAGTAATATTGCGAAAGAAAAACGATCAAACTAATCTGTGCCGCAGTAATCTGATTTCCATCGGCAGGTAATGGGGTTTCAAACGAAATTAGAGAGAAGTCTTCAGGCTGAGCGCGATCAAATCGTTATCTACGACGTTATTACGCGGGCGAGATGGCTTGCGAAAAGTTATAAAATCTACATTTCTTAATCATACAAACGCTAGAGATGTACCTGTTTTTATTGAACGAATACAAATGTTGTCGAATACAGAAGGAATCAACATCTTTTACAATTACGAAAAGCCGATGAGGGTTACGAGTAAATGTCCAGTGGCATTTACCGCCCTTTGTCGCAGTCGAAAGATCCATTAAGACGTAATACAGTTATACGATAGTATCCCGAGCGCTAGTAACGTTGTTAGCTCCAAACTCTGTTATGAAGGCGCACGAAATGTTTCGAAGCGCGGCGGACACTATAAAGTTTTTCTTTTTTACATTAAGGGGCGGAAAGAGTTCGAAGGTGTTAATATGGATATTAAGTCTTATTATTTCGCTACTTTTTTCATTTCGATTCAATATTACGAGATTTTGCGAACGCGAAGTTGCTGTCTCTTGTCGAAGAAGTGAGTGGCTCATTTGGTGACACAAACGTTTGTTCCTTAACTCAAAAACTTTGTCGCGTAATCTGCTTAATGCTAGCGCAATGTAAAAGTGAGGACGGTACGAGAATCGCAAAAGGTAGCGTAACGAGCTCGCTAACTTTTCGCTCGAGCAATGAAATTGTTGACCTCGCTTAAATATTTTAAATGTGTATTATAACTTGACAAAACATTGGTATAACAAGGTGACTGCAATTAATTTTACATATGTATCATATATTATTAAATATTTAACAACCTGTATATAATATTTGTAATATGTTCTTTTGCTGTAAAATAAAATTATGTTGTAATTTTAATGGCAAGTAGTGTATGTGTGTGTATATATATTTTCCAAATATAAATATATAAAAGTGTTAAATAATTAAGTTATGTAAAAATAAATTAATCCCTCATAATTTTCAACTCAATCTATATATATTATAACAGAGTTTCATTAAATTTCCATTAAATATATAGATTAGACAAGTGTATATAAAATATCTGAAAGCTCATCGTACATCATATGTTAGATTCCAAACGAAGTGTACATATAAATCAGTGACAGCAAACAAAAAGAATGATAAATGGCTGAAAAACATTAACATCGGAAATGCCAGCACAATGAAAAAGAAATATATTTTTTTTATAAATGTATTTATGTTTACAATCGCATATACATCACATATAGCTATTAACTTACGTTGGACTTGGTATTATTTTTTCTTTCAAAGTCCGAATAAAAAATTATCATTATAAAAACTTTGCATCAAATCAATTTAATTTTATAAAAATAAACTGAAATAATAAAATTGAAAGATAAACTGAATAATATATATAGAAATTTAATAAGTAGAAATGTATATATGTGTATAAAAATTTTGTAATACTATACCATACAAAAAATCGTGTATACATACTCATTTTATACTTTAATCCACTTCAACACCCTCTATAAAAACACAATTCCATTTAGTTATGCTATTAATCATTATTAATATCTTTTCTTTCTCTCTTCCTTTCCCTTTCTCTTCTCTTTCTTATAAATCACATTAAATTTATGAGGCACAATTTTGAATTGTATCATTATTTACTCGGCCTGGGGCAGATCTTACTCGCAATAAAACTTTTTATTTTGACATTCTTGCGACAAGCGAAGGGTGGAACCAACATTTCCCTACCGTCTTGCCAATTGGCATAAGAGCAAAAGACGCGAAACCTCATACAAGGATAGATATCCGTCGAATTTGACCTATCGTAAATTGTAGTCATGCATCCTAGGTACGCCTTGATAAAGGTAGGCGAGTGACTTAATTCGAACAGAGATAGCGAGTGATGTTATAGAACGGATAGTTTCTTATTACTGCAAATTTGATATAAGTTATTTAAAATTTAAAATTCGGTTATCAAATTTGAAATTTTATATTGGAAAGAAACATATAAAAATTTAATAAATATATTATATTATACAGAGAGGATTTGTATGCTATTTCTGGTATCCAGAATCCCTAGAGGAATTTCTTCGAAATTATGTGTGGAAGTTCAATATTGACTTCTGGAACACCTGCTTGCATTGAGAACTTACTATGATAAGACATGAACTAAACACAACGCGATTAAATATTTAATATATTATAATACATAATATATGAGTAAATATAATTTTATAATTACAGACGAGAAATTACACTTATATTAACATCATAATTTTTTATGTGATAATAAGAAATTTTTTCTAATTTATCATTGAAATTGATACATGTAGTTTTATTAAAATTATTTTCTATAAACATGTCTCCATTACGATAGTGGCTTGAGAACATTATTGGAGTTAATCAAATAAATAGAAGAAGAAAATACAAAGAAGAAAGATTAGAAAGATGTGGAGATATAGATCTCTTTAAGTAGCTTTCAAAATTCTATTTTCCTTAATGATTATGAAAAAGCATCTCAGCCGATATTACTTGTTTTAAATGATTAGATTTTTATTAAATGACGGCAGATTAATGGTTTAGAAAAAAATTTTGTTTGTTTTACACATCTATCAACTTTAAAAGTTCAGAATACATATTATTGACTGCACTTTTATATTTTTATAATTTGTTTCATTCTTTGTTGATCAATTGAGCTTTTAAATATAAGACTTGAGATTTTATAATTAAATGTAAATTGCTTATCAACTAAAAAATTGTTGGTTGATCTTATCAGTTAAGTTAAAAATAAATGTGACTTAATATTTAATGCGGGCAGACTAGTATATTCTGATTTTGAAACTTTTCGACGGCAAATTCATGTCAAATTCCAGCGGAACAGACAGCTATACGGACAGTAGACAAGTCCGACCTAAGGCCGAGATTAAATTTGAGTTTATGAAAATTTTGTCAAACTGAAAAGTAAACCGATAAATAATCACGGATTACATATCAAAATAGTTTCACTTGTCAATTTCGCGTTTCGTATAATGAATATTGTTTCGCGAACTGATTGACATCTGTATTAACATACGCTTAAATCGTTTGAACCATCAAATCGTAGAATTATTTTCAATTGATAGATGGAAGTTTGCCAACGGCAAATTTACTTCGTCCTTTTTTTTATTTTATCTTAATTTATATAGATCGGAATATATCAAATAATGAATATATCGGAATATAATTTATTCTACTGTTTTAACCAAACCATTATATTTATAAGAAATCAAACAACCTGCCTCAATCCACATATCTGAATCATATATACGATATTAATTCGTTTTTGTATTGTTTCAAAATTAGACAAACAAATCATCGAATGTGCATGCGTTATCGTCGAGAAATGTCTTTGATATATTATTCAAAAAGCACCTAACAATAAACGGATTCACTCGACGCAGAAAGGATTGCATTAAATACCGGGTATTTGTAGCGTCACGAGACGGATAAAACGTAAGAGTTGTTAAGCTCCGGAGTTGTTAACATTGGCGTCGTGGTCGACGCGACCGCTTTAAGGTACGCGCGCCTGAAAAGGTGTAATAAAGCGGGTAAGTAGACGAATTACCGTAAAGTTGCGCGGCACTGAATCATATATACGATATTAATTCGTTTTTGTATTGTTTCAAAATTAGACAAACAACATTAGAGGAAGTTGCTGAAAACAATACTTTGAA